ATTAGATTATGTGGAGCCTTAATCTACTTGAGAGAATTTAACCAAACTCAATAAATCTTATTGTTGAAGCCAATACAAGGCTAGTCCTTAATTAGACTCAAGGCAAATATAGAGTAGAGAGAAATATATCCCGGGAGAGAATTCTAGAAAAAGGGAGAGAAAAAGCTCAAGAGAGGAGAAAGAGAAGATGAAGAGGAAAACCTAGCTATCTTTAACAATTTAGTCACTCAAGGTAAGAATTCTTCTCTAAATTCATGAGATTGAGTTAATTTACACATGAGATTATGGATTTGAGTTGAATTAGGGAGTTGGGTGGTGTATGTTAAAGTTATAAACCCTAGAGAGAGAAATTGTAGGAAATAGCTTCAAATCTTGTCATACATGGAATTTCTCATGATCAAACACTTGTTTCTTACTTGATTCTTAAAGATGAAGAATGAAACTCCATGGATTTGAGTTTGGAACTTGGTAATTGCATGGTTTTGACTTTTTGGCCCATAAATTCTAAGTTTGTGATCTTTAAATGGGAAAATGAGTTTTGTTTTAAAGCTATGAGTTCTATTTGAAGATAGAAATGTTGTATTCAAGTGGTTTGAAAGGGTTTTGGACCTTGATATGGTTGAAAATGGAGTTAGTTTTGAAAAAATTGTATTCCATTGTGTTTAGTAGATTTTTGGATTCTAGGAGCCCAGAATCGCATGTGTGGAAGGGAGCCTCGCATGTGCAAAAAACAAAGCAAATGAAGCTACACCTTCTAAAAAAATTGCACGTGCTTGCACACATGCCGTGGGAGTTCCGCATGTACGACCAAGGCACACCGTATATGCGGTTTCAGGACAAGTCTAGTTTCATTTTCTGTCCATTTTCCCGGGCTTCCGTTTACATGGTTTTCTCTTATGCATTGCATGAGCATGAGAGGAATTAAGGAATAATAAAAAGAATCGAGTAACGAAAGAACCAAATGAATTAAGAACCAACGAAGTTATTGATCTGTGAATTGAATGCGTTATGCTTGCATATGTCTGTGTAGGTCAAACAACATGTCCCAACCACGTAATTTGAGGAGCCAACTGTGAGTAACAATCTCGTAAAGATTTGTTCAATTATCAGAATTTTCTTACTCATGCTATACTCTGTTTCTAAAATTGTACTTTTTGTTTAATTGAATGATTGTCCTATTTTTATTAACTGTATTCATGGGATCCTTAGCAGCTGTTTGCTGTTACTGTTAAAGAGATCTCTGTCAGTTCCAATTAGTGGAACTTCTGTTTACTGTATTGATGGCACATCCATCAATTCTGACTGTTTAGTCTTTATGATCGCCTGTACTGTTCTGCTATTAGATGTACCATGTATAACTATTATGTTTTCTCTATGAAATATGAATCTGCAATGCAAATAATTCTGATTTTTTGTTTACTGTTATAATTAACCGATTTGGATTACAGTAAGGACATCATTGATAACCTCTTTACGTTGTTGTTATTCACTGGACTCTCGCTCATACTTTTATATATGTATGTATATTGGTGATTAATTGTAAGAGGTGACCTAGTGGCGTCGAACTAGTTTTCGTTTTGTCAAGCCAACTTTTGTGTCCCACCACGGGGTTCCAACCGGTCAAGCTTTTAAGCTTCATGGGTGGTTGGGGAGTCACTCTTTTGATATATGAACTAGTGCTTTGCACATTCTTAATGAGCTTGATTTTTGTTAGCCGTGGTTAAGTCCCTATGTTTTGGTTATGTATTGTAATTAAACTTGCCATGGACTGATGTGTATAGACTGATGTATATATGTGTATATATAAAAGTTCTTTTGTTCCGTTTAAGTCTTCACAGCTCGTTGGACGTTTATTTTCTTATTCAGTGGCTTCCGCCAGCCCTGTTACTGTATTATTGTTAAGTAGGCCTTTGGTAATCATGGATTCCTGGCCGGTTACGACACTAAACCTATATGGATGGGTTTGGGTTGTGACAGAGTGGTATCAGAGTACGAGTTATACCGCACACACACGTCCAAATGAGCTAGAAGATGTCCTAGAATGAGATTAGGACGTTTTAATTGCATGTGTGAGTGTGTGTGGACTTCTTGTGTGTTTATGTGATGAAAATGAAAATGCAAAAACATGTTTCCTATGTTTATTATTGCCCTGTTTACATTAGACCCATGGAGAATACACGGCACACAGATGAATCTGAATCTTCTGATGCGAGAATGGATCGATTAGAAAGAATGGTAAAATTATTGACAGAATCTTTGAGACAACAACAGCGACAGCTATTTCCTCCTCCTCCTCATCTGCCACCTGTTCAAATAGAACTGATCAATAATGATGACATCATTGCTCTAAACTAAAAGTTTAACAAGATGATGCCGCCAACCTTTCAGGGAGGTCTTTACTCTTTGGAAGTCAAAGCTTGGGTCTTAGAGATGGAAAAGTTATTTGAGGTTTTCCTTTGTTCAGAGGTACAAAAGGTTTTACTAGCCACCTTTACCTTGCAAGAGGAAGCAAGACGATGGTAGATGCTTGTGCGAGACAATAATGGGTCTATGACGTAGGCTCAATTTAAAGAAGTGTTCTATGAAAAATATTTCCCACAATGTGTGAGAGACCACAAAGTGATAGAATTTGAACAGTTGAAGCAAGGTACTATGTTGGTAGCAGAGTATGAAGCCAAATTTATAGAACTGGCCCGATATGCGCCACACATAGTTGATTCTGATTATAAGAAAGCTTGGAAATTTGAAGGCGGACTCGATGTTAAAGTCCTTGACTAGGTAAATATCTTGAAGTTGACAAAATATGTGGATGTCCTTGATAGAGCCCTTATGGCTGAGGTGAATATTGATGATCTAAAACAAGCCAAGACACTTGTAAGTGATTGGAAGAGCAAAAGACAGGGATTTAACTTTAAGAAGGGCTGGAACAACTCGAACAATTCACAGAACAAGAGACTAAATACGGGGTCATCAAATAGCTCCAACCAAGGGCATAATACACAACTTTGCTTGAAATGTGGAAAACGACACAAAGGTGTTTGTTATAAGGTTTCTGGTGCATGTTTTCGGTGCAGAAAAATAGGCCACTTGGTTAGAGATTGTCCTTTGGCATTTCAAGGCACAAATAGACCTATGGCAAGTTCGGCAGCATCAGCTTCAACACCAAAGTCTAATAGTCTAATCTGAAAGCTCCTACGGGGAAGGAAACATTGAAACAAGAACGGGTGTTTGTGCTAGTATCGGGTGATGTGCAGAATACGGAGGCAGTAACGTCAGGTATACTCCATATCTATGCCCAGAAAGCCCATGTTGTTATTGATTCGGGGTCTTCCCACTCCTTTGTGTCATATGCTTTTGCTCCAAAATTAACTAGACCCTTGGAACCCATGAATTATATGTTAGTAGTATCCTCACCAACTAGGGGGTCTATGACTTGTGCGTATATATATTCTGCATGTGAGATTACTGTTGGGGACATGATTTTATATGTTGATTTGTTGCCTTTAAATATCGCTCATTTTGATGTAATCTTGGGGATGGACTGGTTTTCGAAATATTGTGCTATTATTGACTGTTTAACTAAACAAGTTGTGTTCTGACTATCTGAATTGCCTAAATTTACATTTAACAGAGTTGGTGTTGTACCTCCCACGTATTTAATTTCCTCCATGAAAGCAAATAAGTTGATTAATGAAGGCTATAAAGGATTTTTATGTTCCGTATTAAATATGCCAACTGTTGATAAAACTAATGTGGATAGCATTTCTATAGTCAGAGATGTCCCAGATGTTTTTTCTAGATGATTTGCTAGGGAGTTTGATTGACAGAGAGATTGAGTTTACTATTGAGATAGTACCGGGTGCACAACCAATTTCCAAAACCCCATACTGAATGTCAACTACCGAATTGAAGGAATTGAAAACCCAGTCACAAGAGTTGCTAGACAAGAAATTTATCAGACCTAGCACGTCACCATGGGGCGCTCCAGTATTATTTGTGAAAAAGAAGGATAGGTCCTTAAGGCTTTATATTGATTACCGGGAGTTAAACAAGGAGACTGTGAAGAACAAATACCCTTTACCTCGCATTGATGATTTGTTTGATCAACTGCAAGGGGCACAAGTATTTTTTAAAATTGATTTTCGATCTGGATATCATCAGTTAAAAGTCAAAGTCGAAGATGTGGAAAAGACTGCCTTCCGAACGAGGTACAGTCACTATGAATTCCTTGTTATGCCTTTCGGGGTTAATAATGCACCAGTTGCTTTTATGGACCTAATGAACATAATTTTTAAGTTGTTCCTGGATGAATTTGTTGTTGTTTTTATAGACGACATTTTGATCTATTCTAAAAGTAAAGAGGAACATGAACATCATCTAAGACTAGCTGTACAAACCTTGAGGGAGAAGAAATTGTATGCTAAACTGTCTAAGTGTGAGTTATGGCTTGATAGCGTTATGTTTTTCGGGCATGTGATAACTAAAGATGGAATCTCAGTTGATCCGCAAAAGGTAGAGGCAGTTGTAAATTGGCCTAGACCGACCAACGTTACAGAAGTCCATAGTTTCTTGGGCTTGGCTAGATACTATCGCAGATTTGTAAAACATTTCTCCAAAATTGCTTTGCTTCTTATCTAGTTGACACAACAAGGGGTACCATTTGAATGGATTGATTAGAAGGAGTCAGTCTTCCAAGAATTGAAGACTCAACTTGTAACGGCACCAATTCTTACCTTACCTTTAGGGACCGATGGTTTTACTATTTTCAGTGACGTATCTTTTAAAGGTTTAGGGTGTGTGTTGATGCCGAATGAAAAAGTGATCGCATATGCTTCCTGCCAACTGAGACCACATGAAAAAAATTACCCGACTCTTGACTTGGAGCTTGTCGTAGTAGTTTTTGCATTGAAGATTTGGCACCATTATTTGTATGGGGCAACATACGAAGTTTATACGGATCGCAAAAGTCTCAAGTACTTTTTCATCCACAAGAGCTGAATATGAGACAGCGTAGATGGTTGGAATTAATTAAGGATTATGACTTGCAAATCTTGTACCATCTAGGGAAAACTAATACCGTTGCCGATGCCCTCAGTCGGAAATCAATTAGAAGCTTGGCTTGTTTACTTACCGGACAAAGGGCACTGCTACATGATTTGGAAAGATTTGAAATTAATGTTGTGTTGCGTGAACAAGGAGGGATTTTAGTTGCTATCTCTGCACAGCTGGTAATACTTGAGGAGATCAAAGAAAAACAATTACAAGATGAATTCCTGAAGAAAGTTATGGAGGAAAGGGACTCCAAACCGAGACTGGGTTTCATTCTTGAGAATGATGTATTAAAATTTCAAGGAAGGCTTTGTGTACCGAATGATGTTGAATTAAAGAAACAAATTATGTAGGATGCACATAGTTCAAAATTTGCCATACATCCGAAAAACACCAAAATATACCAAGACTTGAAGCAAAATTTCTAGTGGCCAAGAATGAAGAGATATTACTGACTTTGTGTGTAAATATTTATAATGCTAACAGGTCAAAACAGAACATCAACGACCTGCAGGATTACTCTAACCATTACCAATACCGGAGTGGAAATGGGAACATATTGCAATGGATTTCGTCGCTGGACTGCCTCGCTCCAAAAGAGGTATGGATTCAATTTGGGTAATTGTTGATCGTTTGAAAAAATCTGCTCATTTCTTACCTATCAAAACAATTTATAATGCAAATAAGTTGGCTACATTGTATATCAATGAAATTATGAGATTACATGGAGTGCCTGTCTTAATTGTTTATGATAGGGATCCGAAGTTCACTTCGAGATTTTAGCAAAGTTTACAAAAGGCATTGGGGTCTGAGTTGAGATTGAGCAGTGCATATCATCCACAAACAAATGGCTAATCAGAAAGGAGAATACAAACGCTGGAAGATATGTTACGTATGTGTGTATTGGACTTTCAAGGGCATTGGAAAACTCAATTATCTTTAGCCGAATTTGCATACAACAACAGTTTTTATTCCAGCATTAGCATGGCACCATACGAGGCTTTATATGGCAGAAAATGCCGATCACCGATCTGTTAGGCTGAGGTTAGAGATAGACCTTTGTTAGGACCCGAAATTGTGCAAGAAACAACGAAAAAAGTAAAGTGAATTCATCAGCAATTGCAAACAACACAGAGCCGACAGAAAAGCTACACAGATGTTCGTAGACGAGATAGAGAATATGAGGTGGGCAACCATGTCTTTATTAAAGTCACTCCAATGAAATGGCAGACTCGTTTTGGAGCCAATGGCAAGTTGGCACCTCGGCACCTCGGTATATTGGGTCATATGAGATCATTGAAAAGATTAATCCTGTAGTATATCAAGTAGCCCTTCCTCTTGACATGGAACACATGCACAATGTATTTCATATTTCTATGTTACAGGAATACCTTTGGGATCCACTTTATGTCCTTGGGCCTACCCATGTGCTTTTGACTGAAGATTACACTTATGAGGAACAACCTATTTGGATTGTTAACCACCGGATCAAAAAGTTAAGGAACAAGGAAATCCCATTGGTAAAAGTAGAGTAGCAAAACCATAGTGGAATTTATGCAACTTGGGAAAGAGAAGACGAAATGAAGAGAAAATACCCGGATCTTTTCCTTTTAGACCCTACATTCTTTACGGAAGAAGGTAATTGCGTTTGGAGGACCAAACATCCTAAGGGGGAGAGATTATAACACCTACCTCCTTAATTAACTGTTAATTCTATGGCTTACCTTAATTATGTGACTTATATGCTTATATGTGTGTTAATTATGTGCCATGTGCTATTTGAATTATGTTTTGATTGACAGATATGTTAGTGTGTGGAATTGACCTATCTGAATCATTAAACAATAAGGTTGAAATTAAATGTTAGAATAGGAAATTAGAGCCTAATCCATTATGGTATAATTTAGGTTAGTTTGCTTTAAGGTAGATAGTGATGATTTAACTAAGTTTATTGATTAGATTATATGGAGCCTTAATAATTGAAAGAATTTAACCTAACTCAACAAATCTTATATTTGAAGCCAATACAAGGGTAGTCCTTAATTAGACTCAAGGCAAATATAGACATTAGGAGATTGTGGGGGAAAGAAATTGTATAGATATTTTTTTATTTTTGTTTGTTGGTATATGTATGAATTTACTACGTTATTGAGAATTCTAAAAAAAAAGGAGAGAAAGAGCTCAAGAGAGAAGAAAGAGAAGAGGAAGAGGAAAACGAAAACCTAACTATCTTCAACAATTTAGTCACTCAAAGTAAGAATTCTTCTCTAAATTTATGAGATTGAGTTAATTTACACATGAGATTGTGGATTTGAGTTGAATTAGGGAGTTGGGTGGTGTATGTTGAAGTTATAAACCCTAGAGAGAGAAATTGTAGGAAATAACTTCAAATATTGTCATACATGGCATTTCTCATGATCAAACACTTGTTTCTTGCTTGATTCTTAAAGATAGAGAATGAAACTCCATGGATTTGAGTTTGGAACTTGGTAATTGCATGGTTTTGACTTTTTAGCCTAGTTATCTTCAACAATTTAGGCACTCAAGGTAAGAATTCTGCTCTAAATTCATGAGATTGAGTTAATTTACACATGAGATTATGGATTTGAGTTGAATTAGGTGGTATATGTTGAAGATATAAACCCTAGAGAGAGAAATTATAGGAAATAGCTTCAAATCTTGTCATATGTGGCATTTCTCATGATCAAACACTTGTTTCTTGCTTGATTCTTAGAGATGAAGGATGAAACTCCATGGATTTGAGTTTGGAAGTTGGCATTTGCATGGTTTTGACTTTTTGGCCCATAAATTCTAAGTTTGTGATCTTTAAATAGGAAAATGAGTTTTTTTTTTAAAGCTATGAGTTCTTTTGAAGTTAGAAATGTTGTATCCAAGTGGTTTGAAAGGGTTTTGGGCCTTGATATGGTTGAAAACGGAGTTAGTTTTGGAAAAATTGCATTTCATTGTGTTTAGCAAATTTTCAAATTCTAGAAGCCCAAAACCGCATGTGCAGAAGGAAACTCTACACGTACAGAAAATAGAGCAAAGGAAGTTGCACCTTCTGAAAAAATTGCACGTGCTGGCGCACATACGGTGGGAGTTCCGTATGTGCGACCAAGGCACACTGCACATGCGGTTTCAGGACAAGTCTAGTTTCATTTTCTTTTCGTTTTCTCAAGCTTCCGGGCTTCCATTTGCATGGTTTTCTCATATGCATTGGATGAGCATGAGAAGAATTAAGGAATAATAAAAAGAATTGAGTAACAAAATAACCAAATGAATTAAGAACCAACTAAGTTATTGGTCTGTGAATTGAGTGCATTATGCTTACATATGTCTGTGTAGATCAAACACTGTATTCCAACTGCGTAATTCGAGGAGCCAACTGTGAGTAACAATGTGATGATCGGTTTTACTTTACGTCTCTTCGTTTTCATTTTCGTCGGAATTGTTGTGTTCAGACGCCTTTATTTAATTCTCATCTTTGTTTATTTTGGGTTGGCCTTTTTTTGTTTCGGAGGGTATACAGGTGAGTCCGGAATGCTCGGGAGCGAAATAGGGAAATTCTGGGCTGCTGGGCCAGGGCCTCACGTGTGGGGCCCAAGGCCACACGTACGAGGTAGGGCCGCACGTGCGGGGAGGGTTGATCTTTAGATGGTTGCACACTACTTAAATTGCAAGTGAGGAGGGGAAGTGGGGAGGCAGCTGCATGTGCAAGAAGAAGGTAGCCGTACGTGCGGGGATATGTGTCGCACATGCGGGACAGGCCTGAGTCCGAATCTCTGTTTTTTTTTTCGCTCTTTTGGCCGAATTTGTATTACATTTGGGGCTTTTCTATCTCACTCTAAACCCTATTTTTCTCCTCATTCTCTCTAGAAAATCTCTTCAAACACAAAAACTCTTTGATTTTGCAATCCCTTGGATCTAGATTCATCATCATCATCTCTCCCTCTCAAGCTTTGGAGATCAAAAGCTAGAGCTTCACTTGGTGTGGTGGAAATTAAAGCTCTCTCACCTTGGATTTCTAGGGTTTCCTCTCTTTTCTTCATCAATCCTTGAGGTTGGGGATTTCCTTGAGTTATATATACATTTATGTAAGTTTGTGATTTATTTGTGAGCTCTCCTTTGGTATTTCAAAAATGGGTTTTTGCTTCAAGAAATGGATGGTTTTGTAAAAGAAATCTATCCTTGTCTTTTGTAAGTTCTAAATTTTGAAATATGGAACCATGATGTTGAGATTGATGTGTTTAGAGGGGTTTTTGAAATGAGATGAGGAAAGGTTAGGGTTTTTGTGAAAAAAACCTAGAAATTTGGGGGTTTTGGGAATAATAAGGGAAATCAAGGGATTTTTTTTCTTGAAACAAATAAAAGGGTGAGTGAGAATTTCATAATGTTGATATTATGTGATAAATCCTAGATGTATAAAGGTTGGAAACCTCACTTTATTTTTCATTGGTTACCTACATGTACACATGTGATTATAAATTGCACATTGTTGGGTCTCATGATATGAGTATTGTTGGGAGAGGAAATTATTGTTCAAACATTTGCTCTAGCTTTGGAAATATTTAGAAGGTGAAAGTATATGAATTGTAGGTTCATTGTTGTACAAAGATCCATGATAGCAACTTTGTACCATTTTATGAAATAACATGGAGAAGGGGAAAATGAGGAATGTAATTGTTATGGTAATGTTGTTGGAACAACTTGGAATTGGAGAAATACTATGAGGCATGGATCATCATTGCGTTTATATTCTTTTAACTAATTATTATGCATTGTGTATCTAGGTTGGAAACATTTTTATTCAAGAAAGGAATATATACATACATATATGGCAATGAAAGCAATGATAATGTGTATGGGTTAAATACGTTGGTGAGTCCGTTTAGGGGGTGTAGAGGAATTAATAAGTTGGCCTGAGTGTCTGGGGTGAAAGACCGAAAATACGTGCGGAGGAGGTACCACTTCCTTTCCGGTTAACAACCGGTAAAGTGGGGTTATTGGTAGTGCTCGTTGAGCGTACTTGCAGATACCAACCTAGGGACGACCTGTGTTATATTTACCGTCCCTTATGATTAAAATTGGAAATTTGGAATTGATGAGACTGCAAAATGTTATCGAAAACATTGTGATTTTTTTAAGAAAGACATGACATGAGACTATCTTGAAAAGGCATTGCATGGCATTGGCACTTGCATTTAATATTGGATATCTTACATAAATGTATATACTTTGTTAAGGATTTCTCTACTGGGCTTTATGCTCACCCTTATGGGATTTGGTGCAGGAAAAGACATGGTGATCCCGCTAAGTTGAGGGCGTGGATAATTGTGAAGAATACATAGCTCTATTTTGTTGTGATTTAATTGCTAGCCAAGGGCTATTTTTGTATGGGTCCGAGAGGCCACTTTTGTGTAACCGGGCTTAAGCCTTGGAAGTTGTAGCCCATAAGGGTATTTATTTGTTTTGAGAACTGTATGCTTCACATGCTATAGATTCATGTGTTTTCTTACCAATGAATGTATAATCTGCATGTGAAACTTTTGTATAAACCCGTCTATTAACCACGTAAAAATGGAAGGATCATTGTCATTACTTAGTGAATGTTAGTTGATATGGTTAGTTTATGTTGAATTGTTTCGGGGCGTTACAAACATTCTTGTAAAGATATGTTTAATTATCAGAATTTTCTGACTCATGCTATGCTCTGTTTCTAAGATGTTTTTTGTTTAACTGAATGATCATCTTATTTTTATAAACTGTATTCGTGGCATCCTTAGCATCTGTTTGCTGTTACTGTTATAGAGATCTCTGTCAATTCCAATTCGTGGAACTTCTATTTATTGTATTGATGGCACATCCATCAATTCTGATTGTTCAATCTTCATGACCGTCTATATTGTTCTTCTATTGGATGTACTACATAAAACTGTTATGTTTTCTGTATGAAATATGAATCTGCAATGCAAATGATTCTAATTTCTTGTTTACTGCTATAATTGACCGATTTGGATTACAGTAAGGACATCATTCATAACCTCTTTACGCTGTTGTTATTCACTGGACACTCCCTTATGCTTTTTATATATGTATGTATGTAGGTGATCAAGTGCAAGAGGAGACGTAGTGGGGTCGACCTAACCTCCGTTTTGTCAAGCCAACTTTTGTGCCTTACCGCGCGGTTCCGACTGGTTAAGCTTATATGCTTCATGGGTGGTTTGGGAGTCACTCTTTTGATATATGAACTAGTGCTTTGCACATTCGTAATGAGCTTGATTTTTGTTGGCCGGGGTTAAGTCCTTGTGTTTTGGTTATGTATTGTAATTAAACTTGCCATGGACTGATATGTATAGACTTATGTATATATGTGTCTTTATAAAAGTTCTTTTGTTTTATTTAAGTCTTCATAGCTTGTTAGACGTTTATTTTCTTATTCAATGGCTTCCACCAGCCCCGTTACTGTATTACTGTTAAGTAGGTCTTTAGTAATCATGGATTACTGGCCAATTACGACACTAAACCTATAGGGGCA